ATAATTGCTTCGTGGAAAATTTTCACCAGAACAGAGAGAGCAGATTTTCTGCTTCTGCACAAAAAAGGAGTGAAGCAGGTTGCCCACTGCCCATGCGAAGCACTGATAAAAGCCGGCCAACTGCTCATGATCCGGGTATCTGCTAAACGAAATACTGTTATTTACCAAGGAAATCATCGTGATCCTGTACATGCAGGGGGCGGCACACGTTCACTTCGAGAATGCAAGGCATGCATTCTTCGATAGCCTATACCAAACTGTCATAAACAGTTCGAAATTTTCACGTTTAGGCCTAGACGGATTGGTATTATCAGCAACTTTTGCGCTCTAATCTTAATTGAGGTTTCAATCTAAGATAAACTATTTATTCCTTAACTTTACTTGTGGCAAAAAAGCAGCAAAAGACGCATAATTGCATAGCATCTAAATGTGTGAAATGAGGAGTCCCTAGAATGAGTGAGCGAAGGAAGGCAAGCAGCCGACTTTCTGGTGAGAAATAGGCCAAAAAGTGTATATATCACCTTCGAGAGCAAAAAAACTAGCAACAAAGAGGGAGAGATAGAGCAGGAAAATTTCGTTAGGAGAACGCAATTTTACCAAGAAAGCGCAAGATTCGATTTAAAAAAGTATTAAAATCGGTTCAAAAGTGCACACAGCATTAAAAAACAAACACGCAAGTTTGCTGAACGAGGTGCAAAGAGGAAGAGGTGCAAAATCTGATGGAACCGTAAAGCAAGCACCTCCTGAGAAGCCGCGAAATAGCATCAGCAGCTGAAGTGTAACGGAATATTTCGTAGAGAAATCAATGACCAGAGATAAGGGACGAATGCAGCTGGGGAGTTTGTCAGAAATTATGCGTGCCATTTTCTGCACAGCTCAAAATCGTGATAAGTGGGAACCCAACGAGTTTCGCTTATTCTCAAGAATCTTCTGGTTCAGGAAGCTTTTGCATGCACTTTAAACTCAACTACACAAGTCAGAGCGCAGTAGAAGAAGTTCGAGATGTGAATGAAAGATTACCGAATTG